GCGGCGGCGCAGGCGGCGGCGGTCGAGGCGGCGGCGAGGGCCGAGGCTGAGGCTGCCGCGGCGGCCGAGGCGGCCGCGGCCGCGGCACCCGAGGAGGTGAGGAAGGCGGCAGAGGCGGCGGCAGAGGCGGAAGCCGCCGCCGCGGCGGAGAGGCCGGCGGCGGAGAAGGCGGCGGCGGAGGAGGCGGAGCGGCAGGCGGCCGAGGCTGCGGCGGCCGAGGCTGCGGCGGCCGAGGCTGCGGCTGCGGCTGAGGCTGCGGCGGCAGAGCAGGCGGCGGCGGCAGAGCAGGCGGCGGCCGAGGCGGCGGCGGCGGAGAAGGCGGCGGCCGAAAAGGCGGCGGCTGAGGCGGCGGCGGCGGCCGCCGAGGCGGAGGCGGCGGCTGCTGCCGAGGCTGCGGCGGCCGAGGCGGCGGCGGCGGAGAAGGCGGCGGCGGAGAAGGCGGCGGCCGAGGCGGCGGCGGCGGCCGAGGCGGCGGCAAAGGAGGAGGCGGCGAAGGCGGAGGCGGCCGCGGCGGCGGAGGCGGCGGCGGCGGCGGAGAGGGCCGAGCGTGCGGCGCAGGTGGAGGCGGCGGCGAAGGCGAAGGCGGAGGCGGAGAAGAAGGCGGCGGAGGAGCTCGCTGCGCACAAGGCTGGGGCAGCCCCTTGGCCTGCTCCTGCTGCCTGCCTGCCTGCCTCCCCTCCTCCCCTCCCTCCCCTCCCCTCGCTCCCTGCCTGCCTTTCTCCCTCCCTCCCCTCACCCCCACCCCACCCCCCCCACCACCCCGACCCACCTCCGCGCGTGCTTGGCTCCTCAGGCTGCGTTTGAAAAGTCGAAGGCCGCGTCGACGGAGCAAGCCATGGAGGTCAACCAGCCGAGAGGAGAGAGACGACTAGTGACGCAGAGCCCACTGCTACTCCCTACTTTGGATCCTCCTCTGCAGCTACCCACCCCCTACCATGCATCCCACTGCCCTCGCAGGTCGACCAGCCCCATCTCTCCCCATCTCTCCCCACCTCTCCCCACCTCTCCCCATCTCTCCCCACATCTCCCCACATCTCCCCACCTCTCCCCCACATCTCCCCACATCTCCCCATATCTCCCCATCTCTCCCCATCTCTCGCAGGTCGACCAGCCAGACGAGGCGCCTCCGGCGGCAGAGCCCGCAGCGGCGCCGGCCCCGGCCCCGGCGGCCGCGGCGCCGCCCAAGCGGAAGTCGACCCCCCTATCTCCCTCGATCTCCCCAATCTCCCCATCTCTCCCTGCATATAGGCGCCGCCCAAGCGGAAGTCGAAGAGCGACCCCGCCTCGGTCCCGCCGCTGGAGCGGTGCGATATCTCCCCACATCTCCCCACATCTCCCCACATCTCCAGCACGTGCGCCGCCATCCTGGCTACGGCTCGCTCGCCGCACCCCCTACCAACCCCGGTACTCGAATCCAACTACGCAGGTGCGCCGCGATCCTCGCCACTCTGCGCAAGCGCAAGGCCGCCGGCTCATCTCCCCCGCCCGTACCCTACCGACCCCGGTACCCGAATCCAAGGAGCATCAAAGTAGGACGCGGACTGGTTCGCCGAGCCGGTGCCGGCCGACACGCCAGGCCACCTCGAGATGGTCCGGTCGGATGCCTCACGAGTGTGTCCGCAACGAGCGATTCATTGTACTCCTCCCAGGCTACCTCGAGATGGTCCGGTCGGATGCCTCACGAGTTGCGTCCGCAACGAGCAATTAATTAGTCCTCCAGGCCACCTCGAGATGGTCCGGTCGGATGCCTCGCGAG